TCCTTCCCTCACAAGGATCACAAACCAAGAAATTTTAGATTGAAGAGCTCTTCAGTTCTTTCGAAATTATAACTCTTCACTTCACAGATGAGGGCGAGCTGGGGAAGGCCAGCTGGGAGGTGAAGCAGGAGCCCAAAATCTCAATGGAAAACTGAAAATGCAAGACTGTTGGGTGAGAAGGAATCACCCATGGAGCTAAGTTTATTGCCAAGGAAAAATAAGAATTCGGCTCTCCATGCTGGGGGAATCATTCAAGGGTAGAGCATCGCCTAGCACATGTGAGGTCCTGGGTTGGATCCCTAGTACTATAATAATAATAGTAACAACTAAATAACCAAACAGAAGGAATTCATGTCTCTATTCAATCATGATACCCCTTCCTTTAAGCCACTTTACTTCTCAGGATCCATAAGAAACCTTTCATCACAGAGCTTCCTAACAGAAACCTGCTTGTTCCAGACTGCTATGACGCACATTTAGACTCTGCAACGCCTTTCAAGCTTAGCTTCAACAAAGTATCAACTAGACTCAGTTGTAGAATTTACAAATATTAGCTCCATATGAAAAACCACACAAACAAACACAATATCCCTGTTCAAAAAATAGATTTTCCTATTCCCTCTGGAACAACTGCTGCTTCTGGTTACTAAGCAATAATTATCCAGTCCTACAGCAATCAATAAAAACTCTTGCCCCATGAACCTGTTATTTCCTGACTTTGTTCTCTGTACTAAAGATTTTCAAGTCCTATTGATTACCTACTAAATTTCTTTAAGTTCTTTTAAAAAACAACACTGGAGAAATGCTCAAGTTGTCCTAACTTGATACTGTTTGAACAGAATTCAAATCTTTCAGTCATATTAGTGGTTTCCTTTTTCCTAGACCTTCCTATTTCTCACTGTGAACTTGTCATTTTACAGGCATCAGCGTCTTGCCTAATAGCACAGAGTGTACAGGATACAAATCTGAGGGTCCTTCTACAGCTGTAAGTCCTGTCACATTTTTCTTCCAAGCAAGAGGGCAACACTGATCAATGAGCGATGTCTGAGGGCTGGGGCCCACAAATCCACAATGGCTAACTCAGCATATGTCCTTAATGGATAGACAGAGGTTTGGGATTATATTATGGGTACCACCCTTTTGAGATTTCCCACTAATTTTTTAGGGACAGGTCATTCTCTCACCTAAGACTACATTAAGACCACTAAGATTAAAACACTCCAGGGCAAGATTGCTCTTAGCATGGGCCATCTCTGACCCTAGTTATCCCAGGATTATCCTCGGCCGCTCAGTCGCTACTTCTGAGTTTTCCAAAGACCTTGATTCTCGCACTACACTTCCTATACTGTGTTCACCCAGTGAACAGTGGCTGGCGTGCAGTGCCTTTGTCTCTGCCCATCCTGAGGCACTGCCCTCCCAAACCCCTGTAACACATTACTGAATTTGTCTCTGTCTCATATTTCATCCTTTGTTGCACCCCTCATGCTTGCAGCTGGGGACCTCGGCTGGGTCCCAATACTTTAGCTCTCTCTTGAGCAACACCATGAACTGTTATGAAATGAAGCCATGAGCTCTTAAGAGTGCTAAAGTCAGTCCTCCGGAACTTCTCGCTAAAACTAGTCACCAGAGCAGCTATTCCTGGGTGCAATCCTTCCCCAGGCATGCAGCTACTCAACTATCAACCTTTAAGTGTAGGTTATGGTGGGATGATGGCAGCATCGGCAATCAGGGTCAGGCCTGTCTCTGAGGGCCCCTCTGTGGTGCCTCAAGTGTGTCTATGTCTCCCTTCAATGAACCCACATGTGCCCACAGCTCCTGGGTGAGTAAGGGCTTATCTGCATGGCATTTGCACACAGTTGGGGAAGAAATCATCTTAATTTTCTAACTAGAACTGATCCTTTCCCAGGATTTCATCACTATAATTCATCCATCAAGACAGAATTACTTTCAACAGATCAGCAATCACAGGAAAATTAAGTATCTGAATGTTACACAGTGTCTTCTTACTTGGGTGGCAGTTTAAATCCAAAGCCAGAGCTGAGAATACCATTTACGACCAGTGAAAGCTGGGTGTGGCCCACATGAAGCAGGCACTCCCCAAAGCACTGCCAGGTGCTACTGAGCCCAAAACGGTCTCCTCACTCTATCATCTGCTCCTGCAAAACAGGCATGAGAGTGAAGATAAAGCCTGACCCATTGGTAGCCATTCTCCAGCACCCATCTGCAGGATCCCTGGTGGGAGAGGTAGGAACACAGGCTCAAAGACAGGAAGATGTGGGGAGTACTAACCTACAACACAAGAAGAAAGGTTAAGGGGAGTCCACACACTCCTGGACCAAGTTTCAACAGTGATGCCCAGACTACAGTAGCATTCCAGCTTTCTTCAGCACATCACTGACTCCTACTGGCCTCTGACTGAGAGCTGCTCCAGCACAAGCAGTGTGCCTGCCCTGGGGTACACAGGAGCGTGAGCTCATACACTGCGCTCACTGCTCAGGGCTGCAAACTAGGCTACAGCCACACACCAGGGCAGCATCTTCATGTCCTCGCCTGGGTCCCAATACCTTAGCTCTCTCTTGAGCAACACCATGAACTACTATAAAATGAAGCCATGAGCTTCAAAGCCATGTCAATCAGCTAGCGAATGCAGGAACAAAATGTGACAGCCATACAGTGAAATATTATACAGACTTAAAAAGAAAGGGAATCCTGAAGAAGTCACAATTCACACAGGCCTTGACTTTGTTGTATTAAGTGGAAGAAACCATCATTAAGCAATAACTTGGGGCCAGGGAGATAGCTCAGTAGAATAAGCACTTGCCTGGCAAGCGCAGGGTCCTGAGTTCAATCCCCAGTTCTGCAAAAAGAAAGAAAAAAAGAAAGAAAGCAATAACTTGCATGATTCTGTATGTGTAGAATGTCTAGAATAGGAAGGTTTACATGAACAGAAAGTGGACAGAAAGGGGAAGAAGCAACTCTGCAGGTGATAAGCTTTGGGTGTGAATATCTGAGACCCACTGAACTGTATTCTTGAAAGTGATGGATTTCATAGCAAATGAATCTAAAATTATACAAACCAGGCATGCCGTTGCATGCCTGTGACTCCGGCTACTCAGAAGGTTGAAGCCAAAGAATCACAAGCAAGAGCTTAGCCTTGGTAACATAGCCAGCCCATTTTAAAATAAAAGAATTAAGAGGGCTGGAGATGTAGCCCAATGGTAGTGCTTGCCTAGCACATGCCCACCCAGTGTGGTGCTGGGCTCCAATCCCAGAACCATACACCAGGCACAGCTGCAATGTGCTCAACACTACAGCAGAAGTCTGTGTAGACAATTGGGCCCAGATGGGGTCTAATCTGTGGTCTGGTGGAAAGGAAGATAGGATGACAGCCAGAAGAAGAGGAGGAAGAAGAGAGGAAACCAGTTTCAGGCAGAGGCTGGAGTAGATACAGAGAACCAAAACAGAAGACCCTTTCTCTCCTTCTGATCAAGGGTCAAGATGTCAGCTAAGGTCAAGGCAACATTCAATCACAACAAATGCCACATAAATGTAACTCTTAGACTCTAGCCACTTTTTTATGAGTCCCTCCTTACCAGGCTGTCAATCATCAATCATACATAACAAAAGGGTAGTGTTAAAAAAAAAAAAAAAAGACTACTCCCTCCATTCATAAAAAGAACACATGAAAGTCTGAAAAGAAGATGTAAATACTATGAAAAAGCTACAGCAGCTGCTAATATCATGGTTATCTTTAAAACCATACGAGTCACTTCAAAAGGAAAGAGGTGGCTGAGTCCGGGGAGGACATGAGGAACATCACAAGACTTCAGATGTCACTGCGCAACAGGAAGAAGAAATACAAAACAACACCCAGGCTTTGGAGGCAGATCGATTTACATCCACAGGCACTGGTCAGGATCATTCCCAGAGTATCAGGCCCTGATCTCTGGGGGTCTAGGGCTTAGATGAGAGCAGCAAGCAGGAAGTACAGAGGCAGATGGCTTCTCCACTGGGGATTGGTGCGTCACAGTGACCAACTATGCGTCATGGCAACCAGCCATTTCTAATAGACAGGAGCAACCAGATCTGGAACAGGAACTATTTCCTGGGCAACAAACCAAGTGATGTATATTGCCCGGGGGGGCGGGGGGGGGGGTCTTGTATAACTGCTTTCAGGATCACACAAAACAGTAAATTCTGATCAGCAAATACTGACTATGAAGACCAACCTCAGCTCTTACTCCCAGAACCAGACAAGATTTTTCAGACCCCTACAACATGCAGCCCATTCACTCTAGCACCAACTCTCAGCTTCCAGGCAGATGGAATTCTCAGCTGCGGAACCTATAGTGCAGGCAGGGCACACTCAGCACAGGCCCGGCCTCTTCCCACCAGATGCCAGTAGCATCTCCCTCCCCACCCAAAAATACTTCCAGAACTTGTTTGTTGTCCCCAGGGGCACAGGATACACAGGACCACCGGACACAAAACCACAGGTTTGTAGCCATCTGATCTTGTCCCTATAAGCTTTGACTGCTCCCTTTAACGCTGTCCTGTCTCCTCTCCTATTTAGGGTTCTACATGCTTTATACCCTCAGTCTCCCCATAAGAGAGACCAAAACTTATTAAGGAAACCTGTTAAAGGAGCTTTATGTCCTATTCAAAATGTCAATTTTCTAAAACAGAATAAAAGCAACACAACTAATCACCAAAGAGAAAACAAACCCTAAATCAAGGCATCCCTTCAGCCCTCCTTCTCTGGCCTCCAGAAGCGACCTGAGGACAAAGCTCTGGAGCTCCTACCTCACAGAGGCCACAGGTGGCACAAGGGTCAGGACTGACCCTTCCCCAACCCCAGTGCCTCCAGCAAATGGCATCCAAAAGGTACTGTGTAATGAGCTAGAAGTCCAACCAGGGTTTTCCATGAGGATGCTCTCGGCCTCCACAGTGACTACAGGCACTGAGAGGGACACCCGCCCTCCCCTGCTAGGTGGGCTCACCGTCTGGGGGCATCAACACCTTGTTGTTCTGTGTGCACCACCCCACGGGGTGCAGATCAGCAATGACCACGTCACACCAGAAGTCAGCCCTGCGGTCCTCCCCGTAACCACAGTAGCGCAGCAGCAACAGCTGCCCGCAGGTGGTGATGATCGTGGCCACCCAGTATGTGTCCGGGTTGTTCTTGTTGGCCACCTCCAACTTCATTCCTGGCTGGAAGTTGCTCTGAATGCTGATTTCAACCTTAAGAAACCAGAAATACAAGACGATCATTATTACAGTGGACATATACTTCCAAAAGATTGTCAGAAGTGCTTAAAAACACAGCATTTTAAAGGAGTATTTCTGTTGTCCTACAACAGGCATGTATGTTTGTCTAGAATAAATAAAATCTAAGCCACAAATGTAATGTGAAAGCTTCTAGAAGATTCAAAAGAGGATAAGATCAATTTTATAACATTTCATTTCCAACATACTAGCATTGCAGGATGTACCCATATAAAAAATGAAAATGAGACCGTTTTCTTTCCAAACAAAGTCTGGTACTGTAATTCTCCATGTACATCAAATTTCAATCTAGGCTACAAGCTTTTCAAGCACTCAGCAGTTCCACGTACTGAAAGCTGTTACATGGACAGTTCCAGCATAGAAAATGGACTTTGCTGTTTCTCTTGCTCATTAGAAGCTACGTGCCTTTCCTTCCCCTACCTGCCCCAAGAAGCTTTCCGGCCTGGCAGGTCCTAACACCCTAAAGCTTATATATTCGCTAAAGGAAATGATGGAATCACAATTACCCATGAGTCCACTGCTCATTTTCCTTTAAATCCAGCACACAGGCCTGGGAAAGTCTGCAGTCTGGAGGACAAATGCAGAACACTGCCCCGCCCCTGAGGACACGAACTGCCACTTGCAAGGGGAGTAGGAGAACTGATAAATCACAAAAAATTACAGTGACTCCAGACAGAGTGAGGTGAAAACCTCTGTATACAAAGAGGAAGGAAGAAGTCGTCCATCAGTATCTCTTTCCCGGATATTCTTAAGGAAACAGCCAAATCACCCCAGCATCGTAAACCTGGCTTCTGTAGGACCGTAGTCCATCTGTTTACCAGAAAAAGCTCTAGTTCTGCTTCATTTAGTATTTAGTTCATTGTTCTACTAAATGATAATTTCAACAGTCATGTTCATATTAAGTTACCACATGATGAGCACCAAAAGAGAAATGGGAATCCAATCTACCTCCACCAGGGCACACAAACCTAATAAGATCTTAAATTCCTTTTCAAAAAATACTTCACCCAAAAAAACAATGGAATATTTTATTAAAATTTAAAAAAAAAATCTGGCTTTCTCATTTAGTCAAGGAACCAAAATGAAACTAAAGAAGCTGACCAGGGGCTGTGGAGATAGATCAGCGGTTTAAGTGCCTGCCTGGCAAACACAAGGACCTTGGTTCAATCCCCAGCAATACATGCATAACAGGACCCCCCCTCTCCAGGTATACTGAGCCAGCCATCAAGACCAGGTCTCTGTAACCCCAGCACTGGGGAGACTGAGACAAGAGGATCACTACGAATCTGAGCTGCTTAGTGAGACCCTGTACCAAATACATAATTAAAAAAAAAAAAAAAAAAAAAAAAAAAAAAAAAAAAAAAAAAAAACCTGACCAATTTGCCTATGAAACTCAGGCTGAACCTTTGTACTGGGTAATCCATTGAAAGGGAAAAGAAAGGCTTCTCAGAATCAAATTTTAGTTGATTAAAACAACAGTCCACATCAAATAACTTGATCTTGAAAATTTATTATTTTCTTTCCTATTGATACCACTAAGCTCACACCTAAGCAGAAATCTTGTAAGAGCTCTGTTTTTCAATGTCCTGGAACTGGTCCTCTGGTGGGCAGTCTACCTGCAGTATCCAAAGAAATACTACTGATGTGAATGATTTTTTTGTTAAATCTAAATGTTTCCACAGTACTTCATTTCATACATCTGCCCATAAATTGCTAAGAAAATTTAATGTATCCTTTCAAAATATCAGTTCACAATGAAATAATACCTTTTAACCTACCAAGGGATGAAACGTTGCATGTTCTTGCCTGGCTTGCTAGGTCTTTGTTTACTGCAGTGAGTCTTATCTATCCTATCTACAGCTATCCGTGAAAGCCAAGCCAATTTCCTTCTCTCTTTATGCCTAGGACATCTGGCTGAAGTTCTTCTCTTCTTTACATTCTGTTCTTTCCACTGCAGATTTCCTGCCCTTCACCACTCACACTCCCAGAACTGAGAAGCTGCTTCACTTACATGCTTAAAGGATGCGTGAGGGGCTGCCCTGGCACCTGTCTCCTCCAAATAGTCTCCCCAGTTAAAGCCAGTTTCTTCCAAGCTGGAGCCTTCTTCTGTTGGGAAAAACAAACAAACAAAAAAAGTATATCAACACTAGAGTAAAGAATGGAAAGCCACTGGTTTCAATTAGGACCAGAAAATCCTTCATAAAAGAAGCAAACCAATTCAGTGGTTTAGTCAAATATTGCCAACTCCTATGGAACTTCAGTTTGCCTGTTATAAAGACGTTGACAGAAAAAACAATGGCAAAAATCTGCTTTGACCCTCTGACAAAAATCAAGAGTAACATTTGTGTTCTCAGGCATGAACGGAAAACCTCTCTGGGCTGATTGTTTGACAACAGTGTACTAGCCAAGGCAGACACTCAGCCTCTGAGGAAGCGAGACTTCCAGCACTCCATGTGCACCCTGATGCAGGCTCTGATGGCTACCTGTGGCTGCAGGTTATAAAAGAACATGGTAATGTCATAAGGGACTTTTTTTTTTTTTCATTTTTATTCTTTCGTTACAGGGCCTCACTACACAGTTCAGACCCGTAGTGATCCTTCTCTCAGTTTCCACAGCCCTGGGATTACAGGCGTGCACCACCACACCCAGTTTTTACAAGGGACTTTAGATGACAGTGACTTTGATGACATTTTAAAGGAGAAAAAATGGAACTCTAAAAGGACCTTTTCCACATATGGCAAGCTGGTGGCAGAAATGGACCAGCTGCCAGGAACCCCTGTGCCCCACTCTCTGAGATTCAGCCCTCAGGGCCATTCACACCAGCAGGATCTGTGTCTCCAGTCACCAGGAAGGAGGAGACACACGAGCCAATACACTCCCTGACTCTGAAAATGACAACTGTTTTAAATTTGCACACCTCCTCATTCCCAGGCTCAAACAGAGATCAAGTCCCAAAACATGTAGGCCTCAGAGCACAAGACATTTTATTGTCAAGGACCAACATTTATTCTGTAAAATATTTCTATTGAATTATTCATTTTAATTTTGTGAGCTTTACTATATTAAATACTGAGTGCTTAACAGGAAAATAAAATCACAAAAACAAAGAATTGAGTCTGTAATATTTATTGAGTATTTATAAAAAAGCATCAAAATGTTCAACATCGGGGCCGGGCAGACAGCTCAGTAGAATAAGCACTTGCCTGGCAAGCACAGGGTCCTGAGTTCAATCCCTGGTTCTACACACACACACCCACACCAAAAAAAAAAAAAAAAAAAATTTCAACATTGGCTGGTTTTTGGTATACAAAGTCTAAAAGCGAACATCAGAAATAAATTCCCATATGCTTTGTGTTTCAACTGACATGACAGTTGTTGAAAAATATATATTCCACCTTTAGATTTTTGTTGCCGAAATTTTCCATCTCAGCTTCCATCTTGTCGAGATTTCCCTATCAATATTTTCATCATAGTGAAATGTTGACATAGGCAGTACCAGTTTGCTTTCCTTTGCCATATGTGAAGCCAAAGTTATATCTTTCTGAAATCCAAAGTTTGTACTATACAATTCTCTGTTTTGAAATTGCAACATTTCATTTGGAATTTCTGCTTTGTCCTGCATACAGTTCCCACGCTCATCAAATTGTGCTGTTAGCAAATCTAACATCAAGTGGAAACTGGTAAGTCAAATGTCAAACATCTCATTTCAATTACTTTGGGAGATGGGAGCAACAAGTCTGCACATACTATCATTCAGTTCATCACTACAGGAGCAAGGAGGTGGTGGCTGAGTCCCAAAATAAAGGTCTAAACGGTCTAAATGGAAGGTGTAATTTCCATCTACAAAGGCGTAAACTTTTATATCATATTTTGACCCATCGCTTCTCCCTAAGTCTTTTACATTCCTGCAATTACCGTAAGAAATCTCTGCTAGGCACAAGAGTCCAATGGAAGCTTTCACTTCACCTAATAAGGTGTCATAATATGGGCATTTCTGGATATGACCATGATGCATACAGACCACTTTACTTGCCCTTCAGACTTTGTATATTTCGCAGCCCTTCCTCTGTTGTGATTTCCACACACAATGGCAGTGCTGGCACTCTAACCCATACATTTCACCCATGCCAAGACTTTCACTATATTTTTGGACCTAGTTCTAACATTAGATTGTTTCATTTGGTTGAATGACCATTTTGTGACATTCTGTGTATGTATGCGCATTGCTGTTTTCTTTGTCATTGAATCAAGAAGGTCTGCATTCTCTGTGTATCAGTTGATTCTGGCTCAACTTCATTGTCACAGAAACTGTGGCTCACAAAGCCAACATCAAAGTTATCATCATCACCATCATCACTGTCAACTCCTAAACCATTCTTCTGTTATAAAAGCATATCTTTGACTATAATAGATCTTCATCATCCATGCATGAGTAATCTGATGATTCACTTTTTTTTTTTTTTTTTTTTTGGCAGTACTGGGGATTGAACTCAGAACCCTGCACTTGCCAGGCAAGCACTTACTCTACTGAGCTATCTCCCCAGTCCCTGATGATTCACTTTTGACCTCCTAGTACTTGCAAATCTGGTTTTTATGTGCTATTGTACTGAACTAGACTATTTCTACCATAAAAATCAAAAGAAATCTTTTGTACAAATCCTGGAATGGTCTGGGACTATTGGACCCTCCATGATGCTATACACAATGCCAGTTAGAGCATAAAGGTAGGTCCAAATCTCATTTTACCACTTTTGCACATGTGCATGCTCCTTGTCACTCCTCAACTGGGTAAACACAGACTGCTCTCTGTATCCCTCAGGAAAAGCTACTGAGATGCACAACTGGCTATAATAATGCAAAAGTAATTTACAGTAGAAAAGTAAGGGATGAGGCTACTGGACCCAAATTTATGCCCTGAGGAATGGCTGTGCATGATATATTGCTTGTGTTACTAAACAGTACCAAAGGTACACTGTAAGACGCAGACAGAACACCCGTTATGCTTCAGATGGAAAGAGCTAAGAAGCTGTTCAGAGTTTGTTAACCTATTTGCAAGGCTACAGTGTAAGGAAAGAAAGCCTATCAGGCAGAGCCACCCACATATACTAATGAGAGCTCCACAAGTTTAGATGTTCTTCTCTTGCATGAATGTTCCATGGATGCTGATATACAAGCCATGTATGATTTACAAGAGCCAATTTCACCCTCTGCCAAGAGGAAATGCATGTGATTAACACAAAGGAGTTATATTCCATCAAATGGGCCAGGGGAAGTAGGGATGCAGGGTCTTTGGAGGATACCACTTTATTCTACTAGGATTTTTCAATTGAAGTAGGAAAAGTAATTCTGTCATATTTTATGTAGTCCTAGAATTTCACAGAAGATGATAATTTCTATAGAATCAAAAGATGCTAAGCTGAACGGCAACAAGCTTAAATGTTGCCTTCTAAATCAAAGTTCCTTGGAACTGCTTCTCAAATTTTACTCCAGCAAAGTGACTCAGAAGCTGGGAAGAAAAAGGCATCTGAAGGGAAAGCCTTTCTTTTGTCTCTCTCCCAATGCTCTGTTTCATCCTACGACTTTTAGGCCCTCCACACAGAAATATGCTCCCCCAAAAAATTCAACAGGTCCACAGTTTCCACTTATGAAGGGAACTTTACAGCTTTACAGCTTCTAAGACACAGTAAAGTACCCCAAAAAGAGTGCAATTTTATTCTAGAAAAGACCTCAGGTGGCACTCAAAACATTGCCCATGTCTTCTCCCCAAACAGCTCTGGGTACCTTTTGCCAAAGTTGCTTTCTGACTGTAATCAGTCAGAGGCAGTAGCTCAGCAGTGTGCACATGCCAAAATGTGTTGGCGCAACGTCTGACTGAGGGCTGCAAACCTGTCACGAAGTCTGGAATGTCTTAACCACCCCAATGTCTGACTTCCACTTAGTACTCTGCCTCTTGCAGTCCCTGCCAAGCTGTGGCCACATGCCATCGGAGGAACTTCACACTGAACATTCTGAGAGCTGGCATGTTTGGGTATCCACTGTCCGCTAGTGCTTTGGAAACAAGACCTCACCATCCTTCCAAGAACCCTGAGTCGCACGAAAGGGAGCTCAGGTTAGAGAATCACCCGGTCATAGAGGCTCACGCTCAGAATCAGGGTCCGAGACTGGCTGTCTGATTGGGAAATGAACTCTTACTAGATTTCTTCTTCTAACTGCATCACATGCCAGCAGCCACCTCCTTTCTCCACTACAGATTCTAAGGGAGCCGCTGAGGCTGTCCTGTCTGTCACTCTGAGGACTGTTTAAGAGGAAGACAGAAAGCTAGGAGAAGAGAGGAGCACAGAACTCAGCTCCTGAGCAGTCACCAGAGAATACCCTGGGCAGGCCACTGGCTGAGTGAGGAGCCCCTAGGTAAGAGGTCCTGCCAACTTCATTCCCATCAGCCGCAGTTCTATGGCTTCAAATTAGAGGGTCTACGTTTCTCAACTTTGACTCTGAGCTCCTTCGCTACAGTTCTAGTCTATAGTATTAGTATTTTGAAAATAATTTTGTTGCCCCCAAATTTTAAGTCATCACCAGCTACACTTCTCGCCCCTTCTCCAACACAACATGCTCTCCACATTTTGACGCTCCCTCATTTATTCAGACCAGATAGCCATGAGGTCAGAGAGACCCTCCCCACCCCGTGTCTCCATGGTGGCATCAGAAAGACAACTCTGCTACTTTCTACTGGCCTAAAGAAGTCACCCTATCAAGTAACACAAAAGTCAGGCCTAAAATGGTATTAAAAAAATAAAACCTTTATACCTAAAAAAAGTGACTTCAGCCAAGCTGTCATATACAAATTTTTTTCATCTGGAGGGAACCATCAGGTAAGCCAAGATGGGTACGTTCAAGTACGTCCAGGAGCCATGGAGGAAAAAGCTGCCCAACGTAATGCTCTTTCTGCTGCGGGGCCGCTGCTGGCAGTACCGCCAGCTCCCGGCGCTCCACAGGGCTCCTCGCCCCACCTAGCTGGACAAAGCTCGCAGCCTGGGACACATGGCCAAGCAAGGTTAAGTCATATACAGGATGCGTGTGCGCCGCGGTGGCCGCAAACGTCCAGCTCC